TCCCAAGGCGGGGGGCGGTGCCAGGGTATTGCTCCGCAGTCTTCGCCCCGTCGCCCCCGCGTGCCCCCCGCGCACACCTGTCATCCCCCAGCGCCCCCCTGGCCCCGAACGCGCGCTGCCCACGCAGCTCCGGACGCGGGAGGCCCTGGCTGCGGAGTTCCTCCCCCCCGCGGCGCCGACGGCCGGGTGCGCCTGGGCAGCCGCGTGGGTGGCCGTAGCTGTGGCAGGCGGCGGTGCTGCTGGGGTCGCAGGTGCATCTCAGGCGGGTTGGTGGCCCGGGTGGCGTGTGCCTGTGGGCGCTGAGCGATGGGTGGCAAGTCCAGGCCTGGGGGCGAGGGAGGGCTCTTTGGGTGCTGTGGATGGGGGTGGGCTCGGAGGGGCGGGGGTGGGGGTGCATGGAGCCTTCTGGAAGGCGGCTCATTGCGGCTGACTCGGTTGTGTGGCGGCAGAGAGCGGGTGTCTGGGCGCCGATCGCCATCGGTGTGGGGGCGTTGGGGATCGCAGCGGCGTATGGGGGGGGGCGAGGAGGAAGGAGTGTATGCGGTGGTCTCGCTGGGAAGCGTCCACCTGGGAGTGCTGACCTGGGCGGTGGGGGAAGGGCAAGATGTACCGGGGCTGGGGGAGGGTGTAGGGACCTGACGGGACATGTGTTCCTGAGAGGGGCTGTCGCTGAGGGTGGCTGAAGCACTGCTGGGCTTGGGGTGGGGGACCTTCCTCCAACTCTCCCTTGGCCCCCCCCATCCCCTCCCAGACATGTTGCTGCTCAAGAAACAGACGGAGGACATCAGCAGCGTCTATGAGATCCGCGAGAAGCTGGGCTCGTGAGTGTGGCCACGAATGTGTTGTGTGTGCATGAGTGTCAGGGAGTGTGCGTCAGTGGCTGTGTGGGCGTGTGTGCGTGGGATGGGTGGCCTGAGATGGAGAGGGCCTCCCCTTCTGCTTCAGCTAGGGGGGGCCCTTCCTCCTCCCCACCTCTCCTCTCCCCACCCTCTCCTCCCCTCCTCTACCTCTGCCTCTCCATCTTGCCCCCTCCCTTCCTGCCTCCGCTGTCTCCACGGCAGGGGTGCCTTCTCCGAGGTGGTGCTGGCCCAGGAGCGGGGCTCCTCACACCTTGTTGCCCTGAAGTGCATCTCCAAGAAGGCCCTTCGAGGCAAGGAGGCCCTGGTGGAGAATGAGATTGCGGTGCTCCGCAGGTGTGTGCCTGGCCCTGGCTGCTAGGGCTTAAGGCCTGTGGGGCTGTGCCTTGTGGGATTGGGCAGGGGTGGCTTGTGGTAGGGAAGGGGGCAGAGGTGGAAGGAAGCACCCCTAGGCCCCGAGGCCAGAGGGGACTGCAGTGGCCTACAAGGTTTTTTAAAAAATATATATATATATTTCTATTGATTTCAGAGAGGAAGGGAGAGGGAGAGAGAGATAGAAGCATCAATGATAAGAGAGACATCAGTCATTGATTGGCTGCCTCCTGCACGCCCCACAGTGGGGATGGAGCCCACAACCCGGCCATGTGCCCTGACCAGGAATTGAACCATGACCTCCTGGTTCAGAGGTCAACGCTCAACCACTGAGCCACCCCGGCTGGGCCAAGGGCTTTTTAAAAAATATATTTTTATTGACTTCAGAAAGGAAGAGGGAGGGAGAGATAGAAATATCAATGATGAGAGAGAGTCATTGATCGGCTGCCTCCGTTATGGCCCCTACTGAGGATTGAGCCTGCAACCCCGGACATGTGCCCTGACTGGGAATTGAATTGTGACCTCCTGGTTCATAGATCGACACTCAACTACTGAGCCAAACCAGCTAGGGCAGAGTTGTTATTTTTAAAAATATTTTTATTGATTTCAGAGAAGAAGGAAGAGGAAGAGAGAGAGAGATAGAAACATCAATGATGAGAGAATCATTGATCAGCTGCTGCCTCCTGCCCGCCTCACACTGGGGATCGAGCCCACAACCCGGGCATGTGCCCTGACTGGGAATCGAACCATGACCTCCTGGTTCATAGGTTGATGCTCAAGCACTGAGCCACACTGGCCGGGCTACAAGGGCTTTTTCTTGCTGTTGCAGGGTCAGCCACCCCAACATCGTGGCTCTGGAGGACGTCCACGAGAGCCCCTCCCACCTCTACCTGGCCATGGAGCTGTGAGGAGGGCAGGGCAGGCTGGGGGCTGGGTGCTGAGTGTGGGATGAGGGGCCTGGCTCAAATGAGCACCTGCTCCTCACAGGGTGACAGGGGGCGAGCTGTTCGACCGCATCATGGAGCGTGGCTCCTACACAGAGAAGGATGCCAGCCACCTGGTGGGCCAGGTCCTTGGCGCTGTCTCCTACCTGCACAGCTTGGGCATCGTGCACCGAGACCTCAAGGTGCCTGCCCTCTCACCCACTTGCCCAGGCCTTACGCAGCCTCCTGTGCACCAAGGGTCTGGGGGACGTGAGGGGGCCCAGCCCCTGGTCCCAGCCCCTAGGACCATGCCAGGGCTGACCTCTGGCCTCCCGTGTGTCCTAGCCTGAAAACCTCCTCTATGCCACGCCATTCGAGGACTCCAAGATCATGGTCTCTGACTTCGGCCTGTCCAAAATTCAGGCTGGCAACATGCTGGGCACCGCCTGTGGGACCCCAGGATATGTGGGTATGTGAGGGGGCTCCCTGAGGGGGCTGGGGGACCCCGTGGGAGCTGTGGTGCCCGGGGCAGGGCAGGTGGCTGGCCATTCCTGGGGTGACTAGGCGGAGCCAGGCAGCGCTGAAGGCTGGTGTGTGTGTGCGCGGGTGTGCGTCTGTCTGTCTCTGGCCCCCAGCCCCGGAGCTCTTGGAGCAGAAACCCTACGGGAAGGCCGTAGATGTGTGGGCCCTGGGTGTCATCTCCTACATCCTGTGAGTGACCACTGGGAAGGCTCTTCTTCTGCCCGCCTGCCCCCTGCTGGGTTGGGGAGGGTTGGACAGCTGGGTGATTCATCTGTGGGCGCCAGGCTGTGTGGCTACCCTCCATTCTACGACGAGAGCGACCCCGAACTCTTCAGCCAGATCCTGAGGGCCAGCTACGAGTTTGACTCTCCCTTTTGGGATGACATCTCCGAATCAGGTGACTTGAGGCTGGCCCCGAGCTCAGGGAGGGGAGGGGGCGCGATGAGGGGAATGGGGGCGGGCTGGGCTGACCTGGCCTCCCTGCTCCAGCCAAAGACTTCATCCGGCACCTTCTGGAGCGAGACCCGCAGAAGAGGTTCACGTGCCAGCAGGCCTTACAGCATCTTTGGTGAATGGAACCCCTGCCAAGCTGTCCCAGGGCCGGAGGGAGGGACCACGCCCTCAGAGACCCCCCACCCCCCACTGACCCCTGGCCTCCCGCTAGGATCTCTGGGGATGCTGCCTTTGACAAAGACATCCTGGGCTCAGTCAGTGAGCAGATCCAGAAGAATTTTGCCCGGAACCACTGGAAGGTCAGTATGGGTCAGGCTGTGGACCTTTCTGGCTCCAGGCTGCCTCCCTTCCCCACCTGCCCTACCCCTCAGCCTCAGGGGGAGGCTGCCAATAGCCTGTCTGATCTTTGAAATCTCAGGGGTCAGGGCCGGTCATAAGCCTGATACCCCTTTCTCCCTGCAGCGAGCATTCAATGCCACCTCTTTCCTGCGCCACATCCGAAAGCTGGGGCAGAGCCCAGAGGGTGAGGAGGCCTCAGAGCGGAGGATGGCCCGCCACAGCCACCCGGGCCTCGGGGCTGGCCAGCCCTCCAACTGGTGAGGCCCAGGTACGTGGGGGTGGGCCCTGCATCCCCTAATAGGAGGTGGTTCCTGGGTGAGCTTAGAGCAGCAGTTCTCAACCTGGGGGTCGCGACCCCTTTGGGGGTCGAACGACCCTTTCACAGGGCTCGCCTAAGACCATTGGAAAACACATATATAATTACATATTGTTTTTGTAATTAATCACTATGCTTTAATTATGTTCAATTTGTAACAATGAAAATACATCCTGCATATCAGATATTTACATGACGATTCCTAACAGTAGCAGAATTACAGTTATGAAGTAGCAACGAAAATAATTTTATGGTTGGGGGTCACCACAACATGAGGAACTGTATTAAAGGGTCGCGGCATTAGGAAGGTTGAGAACCACTGCCTTAGAGGGTGTGGAGCCCCAGGTGGCCAAGAGCTAAGCGGGGTGGACCCCAGAGAGCACAGGGCTGAGGGCAGAGAGCGCAGATGGAAGGGAGGGTCCAGGGTTCTGGGAGGGGTAGATGAGAGAGGGGCCAGCAGGGGCTGGGGACCACGGGCACCGTGAGGATCCGAGAGGGGCCCAGTGCCAAGACCCAGTGGGCCCCGTCCGCAGCTGAGAGCCTTGACTGGGAGCCGGGCACAGCGCGGGCCGGGGTGCCTCCTGACTCTTCCTCTCCTTGTGTGCTTCTCTCTCTCCCTCCACCCCTGGCAGATGCTGAGGCTGAGTGCACTGACCCCCGATTCTCTTCCCACGGACCCTCTCAGTCCTCTCCCCCATCCCCGCACCCTGGGGCTGGCCTCTGATGGAGAGTTTGAGACGTGTGTGGCACGTGGCACTCGGGTGGGAGTGGGGCACCCCTCAGGCTCTGCCCTTGCTGAGGGGCTGGTGGGGCATGTCCGCAGGGGCTCCCCTCCCCTGTCGCTGCCGCAACCCCTCTAGACACTGACGAGGCTCCAGGGGCCCCTTCCTGCACGCTGTTCTGCGCTTCGCTGACTGTGGGTGGTCCCGCTTGTGTCGTGGCCTCCGGCTCCCCTCCGGTTTCCCCCAAATCAATAAAGACAGACAGAGCAAAGGGCCTGGGGCCGGTGGTGATCTGGAGGGAGGAGGAAGGGGCAGGGATGGGGGAAGAGGGAGAGGATGGGTATCACCTGTGGGAAAGAAATCAAGGAGGCAGGGCCACACCACCTGACCTAGCCCACTGCCACCCACACTTCTGCTCCCTTGGATCATGGCAGACAAACTCCCGGTTGTCCAAGAACTTTCTGTCCCTGCCCTGCCCTGCCCCCCAAATGCCAGCAAGAGGCAACCCAGATAGCAGCTCTGCCACCCTGGAGGTGGGCCTGCGTGTGGCTCTGGCTGCCAGCAGAGGGGGCTGGTGGGAGGCCCCATGGGTACCCAAGTCTCCAGGACCCCGGGGGTGGGCTGCAAGTGCCCCTGTTGTTCAGGGCCAGCCAGGAAGGGCTCACAGGCGAGTGAAGGCCTGTAGCCTGGGGGGCGCCCAGAGTCCCAGCCTGCCAACCTCTCCCCACAGTATTTCCAGCACACACTTTCCTATGGGGAAGGCTAGTGTCAGAGGGTGCAGGGGAGCCCATTGGCCAGGAGAGGGCGCCACCGGGCCGCAATCGCTGTGCTGTGCTGAGCTTTGGAGCCCATGGGCTCCAGGCCTGGGGGAACCCAGGCTGGGCTGGTTATGGCTCCTGGTGTGAAGATTAATGGCGGGTCTTCTGGTCTGCCCCTCACACCCCAATTCTGGAGGGGTCCAAGCCTCTCCTGGACCCACTAGGCCCTTCTCCTGTGCTCACCAGGGGAAGACCCCCTAGGCCCACACCTCAGTCCCAGCCAGAGCAGAGATGGCACCCTCAGAGTTTGGGGCCAGCTGGCTACTCCTTCCTCCCCTCTGGGACTCCTGCCAGCCCCATCGCGGAGCGCGATGGAGAGGGACCTTCTGTGGGCCTTCAGGACCTGAAGGGGAGCAGTGACACCCAAAGCAGGGCTGGCCTGAGTCTCAGGGGCAGGGACTGGATCAGGATTTGGGGTTGGAAACAGGGGGGCCTGGCTTCCACTGAGGAGAGCGGCTGGGGGTGATTCCCAGGCCCACAAGCCCCTCTGCAGCCTTCTCCTCCCAGCATCCTCCCACCACCTTCCTGCTCCACATTGTCCCATGCACCCCCCCCCCCATACACACAGGTCCCTGAGCCCAGCAAGTCTAGAGGGGGTGGGCAGCTTCCTCCTCTGTCCCCACAGCCGGTTCTGGGCCACCCTTCACTCCAGGCTCTGGGGTCATACAATCCAGGGGACCTCAGGCAGCCAGCGCCACGGCCAGGTCTCAACAACTTGGCCTTCTCCCCTCCGTCGGACCCGTTCTGCCTCTCCTTAGCTCTTCATCTGGGGCCTTAGCATCTGTCCCACCACCTCAGACATCACCAACATCCCTTCGCTGGCTCTCTTTCCCCTCTTTCCAGTTCACACGAGACCCTGCGACACCGACTCATTCTCATTTTGTCTGTCAAATATTGTTCCAGCATCTATGCCTGCACCCGGTGCAGACAGAGCCCGCCGGTCAGGGAGCCTGCCCGCGCGGAGGAGGCCCCGTGGAGGGGTGGGCTTACTCGGATGATAGGAATGATGTGCGTGGGAAAGCCGCATCCTGGCTGCTCAGGAGCAGGTCCGAGCCAGCCTTCGAGAAGGAATCGCAATCCTTCAGAGAGAGCCAGCTCCTCAGCCCAGGCCTGCTGCCAGGTCACTGCCGCGGAGTTGGGCCCCAGCTCCGGCTGCCCTGACAGGATGCAGTTTGGCCTCTGGCCAGAAGGCGGCACCATGGTCACATCCATCACCCATCCTCGTTCCTTAGGCGCCTGGGGCAGCTGCTCAATACTATTCCTCTCCTCTACCGCCCCCCCCCCCCAAAAGATCTGCCCCAGAAAGTCCTCACTTGGGACAGAGGTTCTGCCCTCCCCATCGCGGTGCAGGAAGAGAGTGGGACCCTTCCTTCATCCCTCTGAGCCCTTCCCACCCGGGGGGAGGGGGTGGTGGTGGTGGTAGTTTGTGAGAGGAAGCTTTGGGTCAGCGAGGCTGTGGGATGAGGCCTGGGTGAGAGAAAGGACTGGTTCAGCCAAAGGCAAGAGATAGGGGGTGGGATAAAGAGGGTTCTGGGGGCCCTGACCGGTTTTGTTCAGTGGATAGAGCGTTGGCCTGTGGACTGAAGGGTCCCAGGTTCGATTCCGGTCAAGGGCATGTACCTTGGTTGCGGGCACATGTACCTTGGTTGTGGGGAGTGTGCTGGAGGCAGCTGATGGAAGTTTCTCTCTCATTGATGCTTCTAACTATCCCTCTCCCTTCCTCGCTGTAAAAAATCAATAAGCTATATTTAAAAAAAATTAAAACAAAGAGGGTGCTGGGGGCCTGGCCAGTGTTGCTCAGTGGTTGAGCGTTGACCATTGAGTGTCGACCTATGAACCTGGAGGCTACGTTTTGATCCCCAGTCAGGGCACATGCCCAGGTTGCGAGCTTGATCCCCAGTGGGGGCCTTGCAGGAGGCAGCCGATCAATGATTCTCTCATCATTGATGTTTCTCTCCCTCTCCCTTCTTCTCTTGAAATCAATAAAAAATATATTTAAAAAAAGAGGGAACCGGGGCGGGGGGTGTTCCGTGAGAGCATTCACGCTCAGGGAGCAGCAGGTGCTCAGGCGCGAGGCTGGCTACTGGAGGGATCAGAGCCAGGCAGGGTAGCGGCAGGCTTCGTCAGCAACAGTGAACCCCTGGAGGGGTTGTAGCGGAGAGCACCCTTATCCTGGAAAACTCAGGTGCTGTGGTTCAGGAGCAGGGCCCGGCAGGCTGGCCTTCTTGGGCACGGGACCAGACTAGAATTGAGGGGGGAGCCTTGTGGGTGTCCTGAGAGGAAGCTGTCCCCCTCATTCTGGACCACACAGGGTTGGCCACACTGTCTTGGAGCAAACCTGTGGGTGGTAGGTGTTCTGGGGAGGCTCGACCTGGGGGGCCACACTGGCGTGGCGCAATGAAGGAGAGGCGTCTGGGGTGGCCCATGGGTTTCTGGGTGGATTGCGGAACCATTCACCAAGAGGGGTTCACCTGGGGTGGCTTTGGGGAGAGACAATGGGACTGGTTTTGGACATGGCGAGTTGGAGGTGTCTGAAGTGGAAGTAGAGCGCCCTAGGCAGTTTGGCTCAGTGGATAGAGCATCGGCCCACGGACTGAAGGGTCCTGGCTTCGATTCCGGACAAGGGCACGTACCTCGGTTGCAGGCTCCGGGTCAGGGCACTTGTGGGAGGCAACCAATCAATGTGTCTCTCTCACATCGATGTTTCTCTCTGTGTGCCTTTCCCCCTCCCTTCCACTCTTTCTAAAAGCCAATGGAAAAATATCCTTGGGTGAGAAGTAACAACAACAACAGAAGATGAAGTGGAAATAGGGCAAAAGAGACTTCTCACCCTTCTCTCTGCAAATACTGGCTTTGTAGCTGACCCCAAGGGTTCGCCCAGTGGGAGCTCTTATTGAGGACTCACTGTGTGCCGGGCCCTGTTCCGGGGAGCTTTCTAGGTAGTCCCTCAAACGTCAGCTGGGAAGTAGCCACTCTCATGATCACTGGCCCCATTTTACAGCTGGGAAGACTGAGGCATAGAGAGGCCAAGTAACTGAGCCAAGGCCACACAGCCTTGTGCCCCGCCCTGCTGCCTGCCTCCGAGCAAGTGAGGAGGGCTTGCTGGGAACGTGAGGGTTGTGTAGGGACTTGAGGAAAAGATGGGGGACTTCTCCAACCTTCTCTGTGAGCGCACACTCAGTGTGAGGACGGAGAGAGACACGAGACTGGGGTTTGGGCCTTGCAAGTGCTTTTGACACCTTTGAAATCCTCTGCCCCTTGGTTTCATTGATTTGAATGTTCTGGCCTGGCTGGTGTGGCTCAGTGGTTGCGCGTGGACCCATGAACCAAGAGTTCACCGGTTCGATTCCCCATCAGGGTACGCGCCCAGGGTGAGGGCTCCATCCCCAGTGTGGGGCGTGCAGGAGGCAGCC